GTGGGTCCACTGGGGAGATGGCTGAGCTCCCATTTCTGTCTCTGCAGGGTTGAACCTTTAACCTGACACTGGTTCAGCACTGAATTTTCCCCTCCGGGGGCTCATTCCACTATGATTTTCGAGGGAAAGGAGGAAACTTTTCTCTGGGAGCATTTTTTTTTAAATGGTAACTTTTTGAAGCTGCTCAGAAATTTGGAATGTTAGAGCTAGACTGCAGGAAAATGGATTAGTGAGCAGAGCGTAGGTAAGATGGTCAAAGGTGCCTGATAAATACAATGTGTCTCATGGCTCTGCAATTTCTCACATGGACATCATCCCAAAATATGTGGCATATAAACACCTACTGAACATGCACATACCTATTATGAGAAATGGCTACACTAGCTGCATGTAATTATTGTTTCAATACATAAGTGAGAAGGTATTTGCACAGAAAAAGTCTTGTTTAACAGATTAACTTGAAAATGAGCCTGTCTCCAACTAACTTCTTCCTTTTCCTGTTTGTTTGTCTTGTTTCCTATTTGCTAGAGTGGGATCAATAGGGTGATGTATCAATACTGTATCAACTCAAAAAAAAAAAAAAAAAAGAGAAAATGCTTCCTCTCACCTCCAACCCCACGTTTTTCAGATATCCTGAAAAATAAATTGTGGGGTTGTCATTATTTTCTTAATAGTTGAAGAGCTATAAACAAATATCCAGCAATCCTGTAAAATATCTGCATGCCCGTGATTCCTGCTGCTACCGCCAGATGAAGCGTTCAATGTGAAATTAAAATCTCCCTGAATTTGTCTGTTTTTAAAATATTAAGTTCCTCCACAAATGTGCAGTGTTTATTGTTGCTTTTTTTTTTACAAAACTGTTTGTATTGATAAAGATTTCTAAACTGAGCAGGGACGGATTTGTGTTATCTGGATGTCTGAATACTTCAAGCAGCTTTTAATAGTGTATTTCTAATTTTGAACGGGAATTGATTACATGGTAGAAGTCAAACGGATGAAGTCACTTAGCCTAACTGGAATTGATTGCATGGTAGAAGTCAAACGGATGAAGTCACTTAGCCTAACTGGAATTGATTGCATGGTAGAAGTCAAACGGATGAAGTCACTTAGCCCTGGTCTACACTGGGGGGAAAAAGGGGGGAATCGATCTAAGTTACGCAACTTCAGCTACATGAATAACGTAGCTGAAGTCGACGTACTTAGATCGACTTACCATGGTGTCTTCACCGCGGTGAGTCGACTGCTGCTGCTCCCCCGTCGACTCCGCCTGTGCCTCTCGCAGCGGTGGAGTACAGGAGTTGACGGGAGAGCGCTTGGGGGTTTATTTATCACATCTAGACTAGACGCGATAAATCGATCCCCGCTGGATCAATCGCTGCCCGCCGATCCGGCGGGTAGTGAAGACATACCCTTTGTATGTTTTCTGGATCTTTGACTCACTGAGCCTAACCCTTGTGGTTAGGAGGATTAGCACAAGTCAGTTTGACTTATTTACCAGAGAGAGTGTCCAGATAGTGTGTGCTCCTTCTAATTCATCCAAGAGAAAAAAATATAGGAAAATCATGGCATCTCTTACTTTTCCATTGGCTTGAACCTTGAGCTTTCCCTAGCAATTACTCACCAGGGCATATGTGGGTCTGCTTGCCTCAGAGGCCTTTTAAGCAGATTCCCAGATGTCGTATGTGGGGGAGCACTACTAAGCACCTTCTCCACCAGAGACCATGCTGACCTTGGGAGTGGTGGCAGTGACCTTCTCTTTGAAAATAACAGAGAGGAGAGTGGGCCTCTGGAGGGGAGTAGCAGACTACTAGTTTATTCTATGCAAGGTGATAACAACAGATAAAGGGGATGGGGATTTGCTCGGAGGAAGATGTGTGGCAGGGCTGGTTGGGGAAGGTTGATTGCAGCAGGCCACAGAGAAAGAGAGGCATCAAAACTTTATTCTGAAATGCACTTTTAACTTTTGGATATCCCCCCTATCACTAGCTTTACATTTATTTATTTGATGAATTGCACCATGGTTTTAGATACATTTGTATGTTGTGAGTTAACACCACTCTCTTATACATACACAAGATTACCAACTCTCACTATAATTGGTGTTTCTTAAAGCCCCAAGCTTCTGGAGTCATGTGATTATGTGAGGTTTTCAGCTTTTATTTAAAATTTAAAAATAATTCTAGCCCATATAGCTCCAGAGCAAAGCTGTAAAACCAGAAAGCACATACTGCCCCCATGTATTTTTAAAACAAAATCTCAGTATTTTTAGGCAAATTTCGTAATTTCTGGGGCCCAAATCATGGTTAGCAATACTGTATATAGTTTGGCTATGCTCATGCTGGGTTTTGAATTTTTTTTATTTTATTCTTCTCACAACACTAGAAGCAGGACAAGAACTATTTAAAGGGTGGGGGGAATGAGGAAATGAGTTTGGGATCCACAAAAGAGCAGAAATTGTGGCCATTATTAAATCAAGTTGTTGAGTGGAATAGACCATTTGCTTGCCCCCTCAACATGCATTGGGTATGTTCAGTGCTGTTTATGACTGTGAGTATAAAGGCCAGCTTCAGTAATGCTTCACATTTGCAACATTGAGAAAGCTGGGGGCCAGGCCTGCCTCAATGTATTTTATTGTACTTTTTATGGCTCATTGTGCCGACTAGTATGCTGATCTGCATACAGGGTACTGACCACCAGTATTGGTAATACTTTGGCATTCTGCTAGGGAACAGGCCAGCTTACTTCTTTCTGAATGTGCTGCTGCATGTAGAATTGTTAGTGCTTTAAAAGATGAGTGACAACTTTCTGGCAAGCAGCTTACTAGAAGTCTTTCAAGACTGGAGTCTTGGTATCTAGAAGCCTCAGCAGTGCTTGCACGGAGATGCGAGGTTTCCTTGGTCTTGGTGGTGACTTTTCACTCCTCTTGGACTGTCTCTCAGGGGAATGGGGTCTTTAAGTTACGTCTGAGTGCCGGAAGTTGCACCATGGTCCTGGCTTACCAGAGCTGGAGATGAGGAACTCACAGGAGTGCTCTGAGTGGCTGAGCCTGAGGTACAGGGGTGAATCGGACCCCAGAGAGCACTCTATGGGGAGCAGTTTCAGTCTGTCTTCTTTCAGCTTCCTAGATCTGCTCTTGAAGCTGGAGCAAGCCTTATATTTCCATAGGATGTGGGATGCCTGCCTGGTTTACACTGGGGGCGGGGAGCAATCAAAGTTACACAACTTCAGCTACGGGAATAACGTGGATAACGTAGCTGAAGTCGACATACTTAGATCTACTTACTGTGGTGTCTTCACTGTGGTAAGTCGACAGCTGACGCTCCCCCGTCGACTCCACTTCCACTTCTCGCTCCGGTGGAGTACCGGGGTCGACGGGAGAGCGCTCGGCGGTTGATTTATCGCGTCTAGACTAGATGCGATAAATTGACCCCCGCTGGATCAATCGCTGCCCATTGATCCAGCGGGTAACGTAGACAAGCCCTTGGGGGAAAGACCTGTGGCAGGTCTGGCAGGGCTTTAATCCTTGGGGTTTTGGCATAACCTGCTAGGAAAGGCTGCAAGCAAACAGGGGCCAAAGGCAAGAAGGCCCTCACCACAAAGGAAAACTAGAGAGGAACCCACCCCCGAAAACTGTACTATATAAAAAATACTCAAACTGAAAAACAAACAATAAGTAAGTAATACCAGCTCTCATCTTTACATGAAATGTGTGTCTTGTGTGACTAGTACAGGGCTGCATTCTCAGCTGATCTAAACTGATGTAGCTGCAAAGGAGCTATGCTGATTTGCACAAGCTGAAAATCTGTTCCATGCCATTGATAATGTTTATAATGTTTCAAATAATATATGAAGGAGTGTCCATCCTGAACTCACTGTTTGAAGCTAATATGGATAAACAGTTTATGAAATCTGGAGGGAGGGGGGAAGAGTGACAAAAATAACAGTTTGTGAGATGGAAGGTAATATTGATTAAAAGACCCATTTTTCAGTTTTTGCACTATTCATCTACTTTATTAACAGTGCTCATCACTGCTAATAAGAGACACAGGAATACATCACTGTCCACTGAACAGAATTATTTTCTTTTTTATTGTTTTTAACTGAAGTTTAGACAAAGATTTAGGTAAATAAGTCTCTCATATTGTACCTGACTACAGACTGAAGAATGTAAAGTTATTCCAGGACAATATTTCCTAGGCCAACACCACCAAAACTAAGACAACTTTATTCATTTGCTTGAAAGACAGGAAGAAAACATCAATGTGAGTGGAGAAATATCATTTCTACTTCTGAGTTTCCTCCATGAGAATCATTTAAAAAGACAAATCAGCCAGAGACAACTTAACAAAAATAATATGCAACTGATTCCCTCCCACCCCCTTTCCAGGTGGGTTTTTTTTTGCTCCTTGAGGGTGGTGGGGGAGGAATCTTTTATCTATTACTTCCCTGCTTCAGGCATTTATAGCCAGGGTATTAGCTGACCAATACTGACAAATAAATTCATCTTCAGGAATGGAAGTGAGAGACTTCTAACTCCATCTGAATGGAGAGGCAGGAGTTTTGAATGACTGTCCCAAGACATGGGGTATTCAACGAATAGATGCACCTTACAAAAGAGAACAATTTTAGCAGTTACTCTTGATAAGCAAGACAAAGCATTCCAAAGTTAAGAAACGCCAGAATTAAAGTTGCCTGTGCAACCTTAATTCAGCTCTCTTGTGTGTATGCATTGTGATACGGTCTTGAATTACATGATCACATACTATTTTTTCCTGTAGAACTGATACCTCTGTAAGAACACAAGATGATCCTGCTCTGGGGATGAATCAGGGTTGTGTAGTGAAGGAGGCTGTTGTCTGTAGGATTCCTGACTCATTTGTTTCAGAAGTTGGAAGCTGTGTAGGGAATGAGGCAGGGGACCAGAAGAAGAGAGCCTGGAAGTCAATTGTGTCTTATAGAGAAGGGGCTGCAGACTGAAGGTAATTATATGAAATACTCACATGTAACCTCGAAACCTACTTAAGTCATTGTTTGGCTTCTCACATTCAATGACACTGGTGAACTTCAAGGGGTCAAATTCAGAGTCCTGGAATCATAAAAGTGTTAAATATTTAATCTTTTCATTAAGTATTTAATTTATAAGCATAATTGTTTGGGGTTTTTTTGCACAACATCCATAATATATTATGGGTGGGCTTTTTAAAAGCACCTCAATCAAAATGACTTAGCAGCACAAGTGTCACTGAAAGTCAATGAGACTTCTGCTTTAAAATTCCTTGGGTGCTTTTGAAAGTCTCCCCTTAAAAGGATGATTTACCACTCCCCAAAGTAAAGAACACAAGTCTCAAAGGCATGAAATAAACAAAAAGTCAGACTGAGGAGACATGTATTTTGGGTTGGAGAGGAAAGACCAAATTTGTCTGAGTAGGCTGAAAATATTCAAAGCATCATTACTAGGTTTCAAATACTTCAAATTTAAACAAAGCAACTACAAGTCTGGAACACTATAAGTCAATATATTGTGAATTAGGAAAAAGTTAATTTGAACTTTCTGAAATATAAGCAATATTTCTTAATTGCTTTATACCAGCTCAGATATATTAATCCAATAGAATAATTAGACACCTACAGTAGGATCCTTTATTTCTCCTAATTAGCACTCAAAACTCTACTTGATACTCTGGCTAATGAGGCTGAAGTTGGTCATTGGACATTTACCAACAGTTAACAGGATAGGGTGTTGGAGACAGAATGTTCTAGCATAGAGCAATTATTTCATTTCATTAATGAAATGAGATGCTTCCTGTGGATGAGGTATTAAACACAGGGTGGATTGAGTTAAATCAAAGTGATTTAAATACCCTATCTCGATAATTTAAATCAGCAAGCAGCTTGATTTAAATAATTTATTTTAATCTTGTTTTGCATTTGTAGTTTTTTTATTTATTTTCCTAAAGAAAAGTTCATTCTCATTGGTTGCCAACCATTATAACATGTTGATTTACAACCAAATACAACATTTACATAGGCTTGAAAAGATTAGATTTTTATCGGTATATATCAGTAAATATAAATTTCACCGTACCAATGAAAATCTATTTCTACCGATAACAATCACAATTTACAGATAGGCAAAATAAGAAAAATGCTGCTTGAGAACTTAGTAGAGTTTGATTTAGGGATATTTACTTTGTGATATATTCACATATGATAGTGATAATTTGTGTTTTAATGGTTATAAAGCTTTAACTTTTTGAATCTCAACATCTGTCATTAAATAATTATTGTCCAACTCCCCTTCCCATAATTTATCAGCTAAGTAAAACTACCTTAAATGTGTCATATACGAGGGAAAAAAAGTTTAACAAAACATGTTTTGCATTTAAAACTAACTGATTTCTTAAACAAAGAAAATTATTTATTAGGCTATAATTGACTATAAGTAGTGAATGAATGGACTGTTTCTGGTCACCAAGGGCTAGATTTTTCAAAAACATGTAGGTGTCTAAAGATGCAGATTAAGTGCCTTGTGATATTTTCAAAATGCCAGCCCATGACTTTGTTACATTTGTGAGAAGCAAGGCTGAGAAGATGGGGTGGAGGACTATAATGCATCTCAGAGGGCCACAGAATCAGGTGACAGAGAGAGTCACATTTGTATACAGAATTCAACTTTCAACCAAGAAAAACAAATAAGTAACATGAACAATGGGTAACTGTGAGCTGCCAAGAAGAGAGCTAGTTTACATATCCTTGTAAAGCAAGCATCAAAGAACCTAAGACACAATAGGTAATTTGGGCACACATTGGGAGCCAGATAGCCAAAATATACAGGCTGAGGAGAATCGTTAGTGTTATCTCAAACAGATTGGGCTTTTGAATTTTTTAAGTGTAGTTCATTTATGAAAAGTGACTGTAAACGAGCATTATTGGGTTCCATAGTTATTGTGAATCAATGACTTGTACATCAAATTGGTCAGTTTATGAGTAAAAGTGCCAGCCTCTCACATTCACCTGGAATCTAACAGTTAAATCTGGGTTCTTGCCTTCTCTGTCATATCAGTAGAATCATCATAATATTCGTCCAGAAGAAAGTAATGCAATGTGATATTGTTGAAAAATGTCTTAATCCCACATTGTAAAATACCCCCTGAATGTTGCGAACACACAACTGAAGAGTTTGTCCTGTTGGACAAATTTAGGTTCCAATCCAGCTATGCACTCAAGCATGTACTTAATTTTATATCACTTCAGAGGAGCTACTCAGGTGCTTAATTACTTAAAATCACTATGTATTACATTTAAATATTTTTTTAAAAAACATTGTTTTCTGAAGTCAATGGAAGTATTCAGATCTCAAGATTCCAGACCAATGTAAGATGAGAATACTGCATAAATTACTCATTCAACCCTTTGGCCATGTGTTCCTCTACTACTCCCTTTAACCACCTTCAGAGTGGCGTAGACAACTTTTCAGACAGAACTGAGGGTTCACCAGTAAGAATACTCTTAAAAGTCTTCAAACCTTGAAGTCTGAGGTCTGCTTCTAAACACCTCAGTTGTTCCCATCTCAGAGTGGTCTCATTCCTACTTCCAGCGTTCAAGGGTTCACACCACAAACACACTACCTTGGCAACTAGCACTATCTGGGAACTCCCCATTATATGCCTTAGCCACAAATCAGCAGAGTGCATGAGTGGGGTGATGTCCCTCCAAGTTAGACTAAGGCACATTATAGGGAGCAGGCTGGAAATCTTGCACTGCCCATATAATACCTGGTGTGTGGATAAATAGAAAAACCGGTCCACCAGACTGTCAATCCAGCATCATTCACCATAAAAAAAAATGTATAGGAGAAAACTGAGTTAATCTCTCTCTCACACACCAACCCAGCAACATATGAAAATCACTCAAGATATTTCAGTAAGACACATTATTGTCCTAGCTGCATATTATATAAAGGGTTAGTGTCACACCATTTTAAAATCTAGGGATACATCTATACAGCGATAAAAGACCTATGGCACAGCTGCAACTGGTCTGGGTCAGCTGACTTGGGCTTGTGGGGCTTGGGTAGTGGGGCTATAAAATTGCAGTGTAGATGTTCAGATTCTGGGGGGTGGGTCTCAGAGCCTGGGCTCCAGCCTGAGCCCAAACATCAACACTGCAATTTTATAGCCCCGCAGCCCAAGCCCTGCGCCCGAGTCAGCTGACCTGGGCTCTGAGACTCAGCGCCGCAGGTTTTTTCATCAGAGTGTAGACATACCTTCTGTGTAAATGGAAGGACAAATAATATTTAGGCTGGGTAAGGAAAGATTTTACCTTTCATTATAGTACACAATGATGTCACTTTTGAGCAGGCTTTAGCTTATTGAGCATACATTTTCATTCAATGCTCTTAAAAAAAAGTCTTAATTCCTTTGATAAACGTCTCTCAGGAAATCCTAGAGACACTTAACACCAAAGGCCAAGCTAATCAAATGAAAGCTCTCTGTGGCTACTGAACTCAGCAAACAGAGTATGGTTCCAAAGCTGTGTAGCTACATTAACTTTTACAGAAATTGCAAGTTTATGGACTGTATTTCCTTCCTCCCAGGAACACCTGCCAACAAAGCCAACAGCTTTAAAAAAAAATCCATTTTACATCAAGAACAAAGTCTATCTAAACAAAGATCCTGTCAAGATCTGAAAGAAGTAATACTAGCAGACTTCCACATCAGCACCACAAAGCACATTTGTTTGTCCTGCCTGGTGTATAACTTTCCTATTTGACTCCTTTTTGGAGCTAAAATTCTTCCTTTCACTGCGGCTTGTATACTTGAGTTCTCTTACAATTTCCTTAAAAATACGCCACTATAGCCTTTAACCAGCTAACATCCGGGATAGGGGAAAATCCAATTACAGTAATAGTCTGAGGTAAGCAATTCTGATTTACTGCTAAAGCTCTTTAGCTCATAAATAAATCAGATGGCTTCTTCCTTTCCTTGTGAAATGAAAGTGTAGATACACTGTATTGTATTACAGATGCTGACAGTTTTGACATGAAATTGCCTTTTTGTAAATGAATGAGCAAATACATTAAATACTGCCTGCATGAGGTTGCTTTGGATGCATATAGAGAAGCTACTAAGTTAACACAAGGTTTAATGCTGATCAAAGTTTTGCTCCTTTTTATGCTGGTCCTAATACATCAGCAAGTGAGAGGCAACTGTGTCTATGTTCTTGTATAAGAACAGCAATCTGAAGGTGTTGCTAGGAGAATGAGGCCAAATGAAGACTGCCATCTACTATCAAAGAGTGTAATTTCTATGCTGTACAAATAAGTATTTTGACTGTATGAGGTTAAATTTATATATTCACATGCAAAAAATCCCCACCAGCCACCCGCTAGTATTTTTCCTCTCCCAATGGATTTTATTTTTCACCCTTAAAAAACTATTTTATCACAAAAAGGGAGAAGTCGTTTAGCAAGGAATTTTATGTATTCAGATTCATTTAAGCCTGAATACATCGCAAGTCTAGGGTCCCTACCGCAGCGTACATCAGTCTTCATGGTAGTACTCAGCAGTGGTGTTACGTTTGCACCTACATGCCTTCAACGGAGACCAGAGTCCCATTGTGTTAGGTGCTGTAATCCACCCCTGCTCTGAAGAGCTTACAACCTAAAAAGACTTGGGAGACAGGAAATATTATTATCCCCATTTTACAGATGGGGAACTAAGACACAGAAGGATCAAATGACTTACCTAGGATCTTGCAGAAAGTCTGAGGCAAAGCCAGAAATTGAACTCAGTTCTCCTAAGACCAGTTCAGTGCCTTAACCACAGGACCATCCTACAGTTCAATGTCAACCCTCTGGAGGCTACGTCTACACTTTGACTGAGGCATGTGATTCACAGCTTATCTGCACATACTCGAGGTAGCTCAGGAATAAACAGCAGCATAGCCGCGGCAGCATGGGCAGCGGCAACATTGACCGAGGGCAAGTATGTGTATACAAGCTAGGAATCACACCCCTCACTCAAAGTGTAGACATAGCATGATTCTGATGGCAACCCTCTAAATCGTCATATCTTAGGAAGCAAA